GGGTCATGTTGTGTCAGCAGAGGGTATTCAGGTTGATCTGAAGGAGATTGAGGCAGTCAAGAACTGGCCTAGACTAGCATCAGCTACAGAGATTCGGAGTTTCTTGGGATTGGCAGGCTACTATCTTCGGTTCGTGGAGGGGTTTTCATCTATTGCAGCCCCGATGACTAGGTTGACCCAGAAGGGTGCCCAGTTCAGATGGTCGGACGAGTGTGAGGCGAGCTTTCAGAAGCTCAAGATAGCTCTAACTACGACACCGGTGTTGGTTTTGCCCACAGGTTCCGGGCTTTATACAGTTTATTGTGATGCATCTCGTATTGGACTTGGTGCAGTGTTGATGCAGGATGGCAAAGTCATTGCCTACGCTTCGCGGTAGTTGAATATCCATGAGAAGAACTATCCGGTTCATAATTTGGAGTTAGCAGCCATTGTCCACGCATTGAGATCTGAGGCATTATCTGTATGGCGTGGCAGTGTGGAGGTGTTACGACGGTAGTCCAACAACGTAAGGTNGGTATCGGGCCCGTATTTTGTTTCGGCGCCCGGTACAGGTCTTATATGTGAATTAAGATATTTCTGTGAAATTTGCTTAAAAACGGACGTCGTTTGACGTGATTCGGATTTGAATTGCTAAATTCGATACTTGATGAAGTTTGAGAAAATTCTTTGATTTTGAGGATTAATCCGATGTTCATGATGTTATTTTGGCAATTTGATCGCACGAATAAGTCTGTAGGATGCTTTTGAGGTTGTGTGTATATTTGGTTTGGAGCCCCGAGGGCTCGGGTGAGTTTTGGATAGGTGTCGAGACTTGGAAAAATCTGGTTTTTCTGCAGCTTTTGGTGTCCAGTGATTTGTACTATGCGATCGCATAAGTAGGCCCGCGATCGCATAGAGTAATCTTCAGGGGGTCCTGTTTTTGTTATTCGCGATTGCATAAGTCCCTCCGCGATCGCGAAGGGTAAATTCTGGGAGTCCATAATTCGTTCTACGCGATTGTATTCCCCCTTCCGCGATCGCGATGAGTAAAGTCCCAGCCTTCGCTATGCGATTGCGTGGTATTGTCCGCGATCGCAGTGCACATCCATTTTTACCCTTTGCGACCGCAGCCCATTGTCCGCGATCGCGCAGACTATTCTGCCCAGTTATTTTAAAACCCCAAAAACAGAACACTTACGGGATTTATTAAAAATTTCACAAACCTCTTCTTCTCCAAAGCTCTTAGGCGATTTTTGAAGCTCTTCTTCACCATAACCTCTTCGGTAAGTAATCTTTAACTTATTTTCTTCCATTTTCATCAACATCTATTAGATTTCTTGGCTTAAAACATGGAATTAAAGGTAGAAAATTGGGTATTTGGGTAGAGTTAGGGCTTTTTGATTTTTCATGATTTAGACCTCGTTTTGGGGTCGAATTTGGAAAAAAATTATATATTCGGGCTCGTGGGTGAATGGGTGATTTTATTTTGGTCCGAACCTCGTGTTTTGACCAAGCGGGCCCGGGGTCGATTTTTGAGTTTTTGGGAAAAATGATGGAAACGCTATAATTAGGCATTGGGTTCGTATTGTTTAGCATTTATTAATGTATTGAAGTCATTATTGTATAGATACAATCGATTTGGAGCCGAATTCGAAAGGAAAGGCAGTTATTGAGGATTGAATTGGCCGTGGAAGTTTGAGGTAAGTGTTTGCTCTAACCTTAGCTTGAGGGATTAGGAGTTGAGTCCTATTTTCTATGTGTTCCTTGTGGAGTACGACGTATAGGCATGGTGACGAGTATCTATACGTTGGTTTCTAGCATGACCGTGAGTCTTTAAATTATGATTTCGTTGTAATTCTCTTGCCTTGGTGATGATTCCTATTGGTTGTGAAAAGCTTGTGAAAGGAAATTGTGACCTATGAACATCGAGGAGCGTTGGCTCAAGTTATATTACAATTGTGAACGTATATGAAATGATTAAACCCTTTGGAATATTGGCTCGAGTTAGATTATGAATTGTGAAAGTATATGAAATGATTAAACCCTTTGGAGCATTGACTCGAGTTATATTATGAATTGTGAAAGCATATGAAATGACTAAACCCTTTGGAGCATTGGCTCAAGTGGTAAAGTGAGTTATGAAGTACAAGTGAAAGATAGAGAAAGAGTTAATGAAATGTTCCCCCGCCGGGATTTAATTGTTTAATTATTGTTCCCTTGCCGGGATTCCTATATGTTCTTGTTTATTTCCCTTGCCCTTGTTTGTGATTGTTGTTTGGGTGAGGAAGAGTGTTAAAGCACGAAGGGTGATGCCGTGCACTTGTCTTTGATTTTTCCTGATTTTGCTGATAATTGAGTTATGCTGTCCTTTACTTCTATTTACTGATCTTCTTGTTGTTATCGGTTCAAGTGCATTAATTATCTTATTCCACTATTACTGTGAGTTTTCATGTTGGCATTTTCGTTTATTGTGTTACTTGTTATTATTGGCTCGAGGTATCCTTGCCAACATTATGCTTCGAATTTATGCTATAATTGCTACATGTTTATGTGACTTAATTGCTATTTGATATCTAGCATACTAAATATTAAATTGCCTAATTGCTCCTTAAAGTCCATAATTAATTGTTACTTGTTATTTCTTGTTTTTCTCACTGAGTCATAATTATTGTGTACTTGTTGTCTTATGAATTCGTATTAATTATTGTGTTTGTTGGAGTAAAGTGCATTTGGAAGAACTATTAACTTAATAAAATGGGAGCGGGTGGTACGCCTACCACGAGATTTAATGAAATGGGAGCGGGTGGTACGCCTACCACGAGATTTAATAAAATGGGGAGGGTGGTACGCCTACCACGAGATTTGATTATTGAGAAATGGGGTCGGGTTGCACGCCTACACCAAGATATGTACTGATAGTGAAATTTGCTTTTATTTCCCCTATCCGTGTTAAAGTTAAATTATTGATGTTCTTTATTATTTTCTTGAAAGTCTGTATTATCTGCTACCCCCGAAGCATGTTCCCCTCCCATTTAAAATGTTTGTTCTTGTTATTTTCCCGTTGTAGATATATATATAACTGTACAGGTTTTCGTGGTAGTCCTGTCCAGCCTCGTCACTACTTCGTCGAGGTTAGGCTAGGCACTTACCAGCACATGGGGTCGGTTGTGCTGATACTACACTCTGTGCTCTTTTGCACAGACCCAAGTCCCGGACAGCAGCAGTAGCTCGGGAGCCAGCCTTCAGTTCACTGAGACACCGAGGTAGCCTTGCAGGCGTCCGCAGGCCCGGCATCTCCTCTATTTTTATTTATGATCTGTTATCTCTTATATTCGAGACAGACAGTGTTACTTTCTTTCAAACGGTTGTATGTAGTGAATCTTAGTAGTCCATGAATGTTGTGACACCAGTTCTGGGTAGAGGCACATGTGGATTTTTCCCATATTATTTGGTTAATATCGTTTGTCTTCCGTTAAATTACAAATTCCGCTGTTGTTTAATTATTTATTTCCTGTTAATTAAATTGGTAAAAATAGATTTTAATCAAAAGTATTTATGGATTCTAGATGTGTGGCTTGCCTAGCTTCTACGAGTATGCGCCATCACGACCCCCGAGGGTGGAAAATCCGGGTCGTGACATGTATTCATGAATACAGTAGCAAAAATAAGCGTGAATCAGGGAAGTCCAGCTAATCAGTTGTTTTATTCGAGTGTATTCGACTGTATTCATGGAGTGAAACATGGGATTACAGCTGGACAGATTATTGTATTTGACTGTATTTGAATGTATTCACGGCGTGAAATAAGGGATTATAATGTTTTTAAAACGGAAAATGAATCAATTAACAAAATAGACTCCTAATATAACTCAACAAACTCAATTATAACACACAAATTTTTTATTTTCAGTTATAGAAAAGATTCTCAACCGAAAAATATCCCAAAAATATAGCAATCTTCAGAGAAATTATATAATATATCTGAATACATAAATTATATTAATTAAAAAAAAAACATATGAATACATTCATGGCATATAGCGAGACGTGAATACAATGAAATACATAGAATACAGCGGGATACATTGAACTACAATGAGAAAAAAGGACAGCTAATACAATGAAATACATAGAATACAACGAGATACATTGAACTACAATGAAAAAAAAGACAATGAATACAATGAAATACATGAAAATACAGCGTGATACGCTGAAAATACATTGAAATATATTAACAGAAAATCAAGTTGCTCAGCCCGAAAATCCGTCGTCTTTGTTCAAGAACAAACCCTAATTTCCGGCAATCCGCCGTCGAGCAAAAACCCTGAATCTCACTTCCCACGCATCCTGTACATTGCTTCTGACACATGTTTGAACCAACGATAACCATTTTTGAATGATTTCTTGACTTTTCCTTCCATGGAATATATCTTATATTTGGCCACCCTCTTCTTCCTTTTAAGCTCCGGCGTTGAATACCATGGCCGATTCTCTGGTAATTGATAGTTACTGGAGAGGTTTGGTATTTGTGAGAAGGCATCATATCCGTCGACGTTGTCGTCGCCAAGAGAAGTGGTGGTCGGTCAATGAATCCGGTATTATTTGGAAGAGAGAATGACATTTATCAAATTAGAGAGAGAAATAAAATAGTGTAACTGAATAGCGTATTTAGTGGCTTAGGGCTAGGAGGTACCAAAATTAGATATTTTGCTATAAACCTTAAAATGTATCAACATAATATAATTTTTTAAAATGGTATTTATTTAAAATAAATAAGGTGTTAACCTTTGCTATAGGAGGTAAAAATTCCATAATTTTTTTCGTTTTATATATATTTACTGTAAGTTGACTACCCGAAACTTTTGGTGTATTTATATTTTTATATTTTGACACCCCTTGGTGAAAATTCTGGCTCCGCTACTAATGATGACCTGCCCGAATTTAACCCAAGATATCTACTTATCACCTCTAGCCTCACCTATATAATGCCTTGTAATGTCAATCAACAGGTGAATAATTAATTCTTTTCAAAATGGCAAATTGCATTAATGCGAATGAAGTTGCAAATCCTGGCTCCAACGTGCAAATTGAAGCAATCCAAACGGTGATGCCAATGAAGCCAACTGATCCAAGGTTATCGCGACGAGTCGCCATTGGTGAAAATCTTGGCTCAGGCAATCTCCAGAGTCGTTTTCACATAGTTCTTTGCTATAACAAAGCCTCAGAAGAGGATTCAGGGTGGCTATTAGCTGGTTGGATTAAGGAGTCATTAGGAAAAGCACTTGTTGAAAAACCATTATTGGCTGGTAGACTTAAAAGAAAAGGAGAAAATGATGATAATGGAGAGTTTGAAATTGTGTCGAATGATTCTGGCGTTAGACTTGTTGAGGCTAATATGCCTATGGACTTGGCTGATTTTCTTGATCTTATAAAGGAAAGGAAAAATGGAGAAGCTGAGCTTGTCTTTTGGGAGGATGTCAATGAATCAAATCCTCAGTTTTCACCTCTTTTCTATGTCCAGGTTAGTGTTGGAATGCAGAAACTAAATCTATCCTTTTATTTTATTTTTTATTTGGGTTCAGGATTCGTTATTTAATACTTATTGATCCGACTAATTTGAATTCGCGTCACATAAGACTCATTATAGGGGATATGCTTTCCGCTCCCACAATTTCTCCACCCTCGACTTTTGGGTCGTGCGAATGGAGAAACTCTTGGTAAGAAGTGTTTGCACTAATAATAATAGGATGAATTTTGAATACCAAATGGTTATATTAAAAAAATTGCCGAGGGTCAATAAGAAACATGCTTGGTACCCTAAAAGATTGAGATACGATCTGCGTACATATTACCCTTCCGAAATCCCACACTATATATAGGAATACAGTACATTAGTATGTTATTGTTGTTACGTTGTGGTTGTTGTTGTTGTTGGTGGTGGTATCATTAAGATCAGTCCAACAAAGAAAGAGGGAACAAGATAAAGTTAGATTATTAGCAAATACTTCTACTACCATTTTTCTTGAAAGATATTTATGCACTGAATATGGGTTTTTTAGGTTTTATTCAAAATGCAAGATTATTCTTGATCAATGATTTTATTGTTCAGGTGACAAATTTCAAGTGTGGAAGATACTCAATTGGTATAAGTTGCAGCCTTTTTCAAACAGATCCTTATGGCATGACTAGTTTCTTGAATAGATGGTCCAAAATTCACAACAACATTGTAACAGAAGCAGATATGCCCAAAATTCCAACATTTTTCCTTCCAAATCTTAGGAAAACTGGATGTTCACCAACTTTATCCACAAGCTCCACCACAAACAAACAAATTAATGAATCCTTAATCTTTAAAATACCCTCAAACATCTTGAATTTAAGAGATGATATCCACAAGAATTTTGCTGAAAAATGTGTTGAAGAGGTAGAAGACAAACTTGGTAAGAAGTTGTCTTCAAAATTCTGTTTGTTTGTTAGAGAAACCTCAGAGGATATTAAGGTTGAAACATTTTCTAGAGAAGGGATTTCTCCATTTGATTCTATTGCTGGATTAGTTTCAGTTAGCTTGGATGATTTGGAAGGTGAAAGCATAAGGTTTAATGAAGGAAATAAGGCTGTCCACTTTTCATGTTGGATAAGTAACTCAGGAAATGAAGATCTTGTGTTGATTACTCCAACTTTTGTGTTCATTACTCCATTTCTTTGATATTGTCCCAACATTACTATATTTTAATTAGGTTTATTATTCGAAGAATCTTAGGAATTTCGAGCTTCTGTGTATTGCAAATGTTGTGTAAGATTGTCAAGTTTGATATTTTTAATGTACAATATAATATTGCACTTCAATGACATAAAGATGAATTATGATATGATGAGATAAAGAGATGCATGATTTGTAAAGAAGCTTTGAGCTAAAAAGAACAAACTAAGTAGGAAATGATCAAACTACGTTATTATTAGAGATAAAGAAAGTAGTGCACGACTTCATAACCCTCTTTAGAGATAGAAACTTGTGGTAATAGTTGTGAACGAGCAAAGAGTATAAGTTTTATGCAACATAGTAAAAAAAAAATATTGATATTCTTAAAAATAAATGGACCCAATATTCTATAAAAGGTCAAAATATTCAGCTACTAATAAAGAAGTAGCAACGATATTGATCGCATTTTAGGAATATCTTGTTTAGCGACAGAATTTTATTATGGATCAACCTGCAATAACTCCATTCCTTTTCTAATTAATAATAATATGGAAAACGTGGTCTTACAAAATTCATTTATTGAGAATTTCCACCGGACCAACCTACATTAATAGCTTCATGCATCTTCACCTACATAAGGTAAAAGCAGTTCAAAGTAGTACTAGAGAAATTGTACTCCTTTTTAATTTATTTGAACTTTTTGAGGTGCGAAGGTTAAATTAACTAATTTTTAGTGTTATTCAAACATACGTTTTTAAAAGTTTTAAAATAAAATGTATAATTTTAAAAACTACATAAGAAGTGTAGACAATAAATTTGCGTCGAGAAAATAAAATCAAAACCGAAAAAATATCGCAAGTAGTTTATTTCAAACATTTGAGTGAACAATCTTTACGAATCCTCTGATTCTTCTTTTCAATAGTAAATAAATTCAAGGGCTTTCGAGCTTGATCTTGACTTTGATTAGTCGCCACGAACGATGATCTTGTTCTTGAGCTTTAGCTTGATTGCTTGAACTTGACCTTGATTTGTTCTTCGTTCTTGAGCTTGAACTTGAACTTGATTGCTTGAAGCTTGAAACTTGTAGAGAAATTTGCGGTGTTTGATCCACGAGCTCTCTCTTGCTTCTTGTTATAACTTCTGGTATCTTTTCTGAGTTATGAAGACCCCTATTTATAGTTGTGGAAGGGAGGAGTTGTGATAAGAAAAAACTCTTTTCGACCAATCAAATTGAAGTGTGACATGGCCGCATCTGATTGGCCAGAACATGTCACTTGCACTCGTGGCGCGGTTTCATTGGCCTTCTAATGTGACTTGGCATGCCTTGTCGTTTTGACACGTGGCATGATCCTATTGGCTCTTCCGTTTGACTTGGTGTGCCACGTCACGTGGCACCAAACTGGGCCTCTAGGAGGATGACATATTGGGCCTAATGAAGTGGGCTCATCATTTGTAGCCCAATTAAATAGGCTAGCCCAATGGATTAAGTCTTATTTATTTAAGTAAAAATTGTGTGGGGTAGCCACTTTTTAAAGTGGTATTTACTTTTTATCCAGCATTTTTAATGCTGAGAAGCCACTAGTCTATTAAAATTAATATGAAAAGACAGTGTTACCCATTCATTCCTAAACAAAAATACGCTTTTCTTCTCGTTGCTGAGAGTAGCAGAATAGAAACCCAAGATGACTTTACTACCATCAATGGAAGAATTTGAGTACTCTGCTTTGTGGGTATTGCAAAACTGACTTTTCCAAAACTTCCTTGACCAACAGCTTCACACGAACCCAATCCATGAGATGAAATTTGGTATTATTTTAGGCTTTTGTTTAGGTAGAAGAATGTGAGAGAACAGAGTAGGCCGCAAGTCACAACGAACTCTGTTTTAACCCATGTTATTTATTTATATGGGATAGTTTTTCTATTTTTGTTTGGTTTTAGTTCCAAGTTCAAAAGTTAAGGACATGTAGTCCTGAAGTCCTGAACTTAGAGTTCCAAGTTCAAAAGTTAAGGACATGTAGTCCTGAAGTCCTGAAGTTAAGGGCATGTAGTTGTAACGATCCGACTGGTCGTTTTGAGTATCTGCACTTCGCTCGGTGATTTAGAGCCAAACTCTGTGTTCGAAGCCTTTAGAGCCTCATTCTAGCCTTCCTTTATTTGCGTGCGCAGTCCGGGTATTGACCCGGGAGGCTTATATGCAACAACAAAAACTGATAAAAACAAGAATTTTTGCCTAAAAAGTTAATTTTAGTTGATTTCAATCAACGTTTTCAGTAAATGGATCCGGACCTGTGTTTTGACGGTCCCGGTGGGTTCGTATTGAAATACCAGATCTGGGCGTATGCCCGGAATCGAATTCCGAGGTTCCTAGCTTGAGTTATGAATTTTTATTGAAAATTAAAAGTCTGAAAAATCTAATGTTTTTAAGAACTGATTGAATGTTTGGCATTGTTAATACCGGGTCCGTATTTTGGTTCCGGAGCTCGGTACAGGTCCAATATAATATTTTTGACTTATCTGTGAAATTTGGTGGGAAACAGAGTCGGTTTGACGTGATTCGGATGTCCGGTGGTAAAAATAGAGATTTCAAAGCTTTCTTGAAAATTTCATTTGATTTGGTGTCCAATTCGTAGTTCTAGGTGTTATTTTGGCGATTTGATCTCGCGAGCTAGTTCGTATGATGTTTTCAGACTGGTGTGCACTTTTGGTTTGGAGTCCCGATGGGCTTGGGACTATTTTTGGATCATTGGTTGAGAGACTAGTAAAGTTAAGAAATTTGGGAGTTTGACCATGGTCAATATCGGGTTAAGACGGTCTTTTTTCAGTGCTTTGAGTGCGCGAGCAGGCCCGTAACGTGTTGTATGATTGAAAATTCATATATGGTTTGTGTCCGGGAGGTTCCGGATGAGTTTTGGAGTGGTTTTGGATCATTTCGGAGAAGTTTGGGTTTTGTTGGTTTCTGGTGCGACACTGTTCATTCGCAATTGCGAACCTTTTGTGGCAATCGTGAAAACACTGTTCATCCGCAACTGCCAACAATTTATGGAAATTGCGAAAAAACAATGTTCATTTGGGAAATGCGAAGTTTTGTTCGCAAATGCGACATCTGCAGCCTGTTAAGTGCTGAGAATTTCGAGTTTTTGCTTCATTTTTTCATATTTTTGAACCCTAGCTTCGAGGTAAGGTGATTTTGAGAGGGGATTTTCATGCCAAATCATTGGGTAAGTATCTTTAATCAATTTTCAACTATATTTCATGATTTTATACAAGATTTAACATCAAATTCATGAGAAAACAATGGAAAAATTTGGGGATTTTGTCAAAGTTTTGAAAAAAGAAAATTTGAGATTTGGAAGTCGAGTAAGACTCGGATTTGAAAAGAAAACACATATTTGGACTCGTGGGGCTATGGGTAGTCAAGACCTACCTTTGGACCCGGGTTTTGACCGGGCGGGCCCGGGATTTGACTTTTGTTGACTTTTTAGAAATTGAATAAAAATCATAGCTTTATTAATTGAAATTGTTTTCTCTTGCATCGTGTGGTGTATTCAAGTCGTCATTGGCTATATTGAGTCGAGCGGAGGCAAATTTGTAGAGGAAAAGGCTAAGTTGAGTGTTGAGTTAACCGGATCGAGGTAAGTGTTTTGCCTAGTTTTGTTGAGGGAATTTTTCCTCCTATTTGTCATTGTTTGCTACATGCGGGTTTGATACATATATGAGGTGACGAGCGTATATGTATGTGCCAGGGTTAATCATGCTCGGGGGGTGAATTATGTTATATTTGTGTTTGTAGAATTTGTGACATTCTGCTTAATGCCTTGTTTGACTCTTAGATACTAAGGACATAATATTAAATGATAGATATCAAGACTTAGTTTGTTATAACTTGATCAAACTTGATGGAAATTGTAAGAATACATTGATGTGTCTAATTCGGTCATCTCTATGCGAAATCATTACTACATTACTACAACCGAATTTCTTGAGATGCTAGGCTCTATACTTGTATTGTGGATCATTTATGAGATTCATGGAATTATTTGAATAATATGGTTCTTGAGGGTTATTGAACTATTGTTGACTTGGAAAGTTGTGATTTGGAATGTGTTTGGAATATCCGTTTAAGCGCTCTCTTTGATGTTATTCGTTCTTCCTGCCTTATTTGTCATTGATACTCATATGCTTGGTAAGAAAGAGTGTAAAGCACGAAGGGTGATGCCGTGCCATTGTTTATACATTATCATGTGAGGGAGAGTGTAAAGCACGAAGGGTGATGCCGTGCCAAATCATTGAGAGTAAAAGCACGAAGGGTGATGTCGTGCCATATTATTGAGAGTAAAAGTACGAAGGGTGATGCCGTACCATATTATTGAGAGTAAAAGCACGAAGGGTGATGTCGTGCCATATTATTGAGAGTAAAAGCACGAAGGGTGATGCCGTGGCATATCATTTGAGAGTAAAAACACGAAGGGTGATGCCGTGCCATTTTATTTGTATTGTTATGTTTGTATGTTATGGTGAGGTCATGGCACGAAGGGTGTTTCCGTGCAGGTGAGGGCGAGGGACATCCATTTTTATATGATATCTGTTTCCCGTGTATACAGTTGTGCCCTTACCTTGAGCTGTTATTGTTGTATTTACATATTTAGGGTGACTTGTTGTTATTGTCCTGTACTTGACCTTTATCTCGATTGTTGTTGCATTGTCCATGTCTTTTACTCGCTTAACTTACAATTACCATGCCTATTTCTGCTTTTATATTATCTGTTGTATCTATTTTGTTGCAATTCAAAATAAGCCTTCCACTATGCTAGCCATTCATGCCCTTACTTGTTAATTTATAAAGAACATGTGTTTTCCTCTTAATTGTTATATTTGTACTTAGGACTCCAACATGCTAGTTAATTGAAGTTGATATTTCCTGTTTTCCAATTGTTGTTGTTACTCACGTGCTTTCCGCTTAGTGTTTTACTGTGACCCACATGTGTATCCTTGTCCACGGTTGCTACTTGCGTATTTCCTACTTAGAAGTTCCTATTATTGTGTTCTGGTGATATGGTTGGTTATGTTATACGATCACTTGGGAAAGATGAGTTGAACGCACGAAGGGTGTTACCGTGCCATGTGATTTGACATTTTTGACATATATCTCATACCAGGAAAGATCGTAAATATACTATTGTGGTTCTTTACAGTATTCATTGTCTGACTCGCCGGGTTGTATTTGATACTTTTATCTGTTATACTTTGAACTGTTTACTGTTAATCTAATGTACAGGTTATTTAAATAAGCATCTTTTTAACTAAAAGCCTCGTCACTACTTCGATGAGGTTAGACAAAATACTTACCAGTACATGGGGTCGGTTGTACTGATACTGCACTTCTGCACGTCCCGTGCAGATTTTGGAGCGGAGTTGCTGGTGACGTTGGGTGCTAATTCAGAAGATGTTCGTGCGTTTGGATATAGCTGCCACTTGTCCTTGGTAGTTCAGATTATTGCTAATCTGTTTATGTAATCTTCAAACAGAACGTGTATTTATTTGTATCAGTTTTGAAGTTCCAAATCTTAGAAGCTCGTGATTCATACTACCTGGTCTTGGTAAATTTATTAATGTTTAGTTATCTATTTTCTATCCTCGTATAATCTCAGTTGGGTGGTATTTTCTGTTAGTCGGCTTACCTAGCGGGTTGAGTTAGGTGCCATCACGACTTGTGGTTTTTGGGTCGTGACAAGGTGGTATCAGAGCACTAGGTTCGTAGGTTCTACGAGTCATGAGCAAGTGTCTAGTAGAGTCCTGCGGATCGGTATGATGACGTCCATACCTATCTTCGGGAGGCTACAGGGCATTTAGGAAAAATTTCCCTTTCTTCTTTCCTTATCGTGCGGTCTTGTTTCAGCCTGAAACCTACGACTTTGACTCTTCCCCACCGCTCGTATGTGATGTTGTGCGCTTAGTATTTGCTATGTGCCGACGATCGGTAATGCTGAAGATAGATTACGACGGGCTGTGGATGCTTGATCATCATCGCGATGTTTTGTCTAGCCTCTGAACAGATGTAGTGTTAAATCTTCTACTCGTCCATTTGTGGTGCGAGGCGGGTTTATAAGTCTGGTTGGTAGGTGCACATTTGGAAAGATTGGTTGGTGGCCTGGCTATTGTGATTAAGGTAAGTTCATGGCAAGGTGTCGATATGAGTATAACCGATGGGCCACCTTCTGCAGGATGATTTTGGATCGTGTGTCTCATATGAGGTCTTCTATGGATTCGAGCTAAGTGGTGGAGGCTGCAAATGACGATCGGATTGTAGGATCATGGGCCGTACCAGTTTCGGAACCGAGAGCTTTCATGGTTATTTCTTTGAATGGGCATATGTTGTGAAGCACGGGTTGCTCAACGCGTATTAGCTACGTATTGAAGATCAGAATAGGATGAGTGGATTTAAGGATTTAAGGACTTTTGAATTTGTCTACGGAGCATCGAATGATAATTGGATCCGCGGTATTTCCTTGTCAAGGAAAGTCTACATGTCAATGTGGGTGTGATGTGAGAAATGGCTTCGGGTTCCCGGAATGTTCCCCCAGGATAGGCATATTGGGTTGAGTTACTTTCGGGTTGTCAGTCTGCTTGACCCAATTGAGTTAGAGGCGATTGATTCTTATTCCTCGATTACTCCTACTGTTGCGATTTCTATTCTCCGGCCGGTGAACTTCTTTGCTACTGCAACTGATCTGCCGCCATTAGTAAGTATATTTCCTTGGCATTATTCTTTTTTTCTTTTTTTTAATTGCAAAATCATCTTTCAATTTTTATAAAACTTTCAGCAACCAAGGATATCATCTTTTTTCTTTTTACTTCTTCTTTTTGTTCTACGACACAGTAGCATAAATACTTAAATCATAGAGTACCTTTTTACATCGTAATTAAGTTTTATAATTTGTATCCATTTTCGATCTTCGCCTTCACTTTTCAATCGCAAAAAATCTTTGTCTATTCGATCTGCTACACTTGAAGGTAATTCTTTACATACTTGAAGGTAATTTCTATTAGATTCAACGTATTTCTGCAATTTCTGTAAAAACGAAAATTGTATATCAAAAATCCAAACTTTGGTTTTTGCTTTTTTCTGTCGCAATTTGTGAAGAACTTAGTGAAGATCTTATTTTACTAAGTTTATCATAAACTGGCCTTTTTATTCATTATTGACTGTTTTTAAATCAACTTAAGGTTTTATTTCATCCTTTTTTGCGCTCCTTTGCTACGGGTGGGGCCTCACCAATGGTAGCGGTGACAACCCCTCCCTCCTTTGTTTGGCTTCATGGTATTTTGTGTGTATTTTAGGTTAGGGCCTGCGGTTATTAGCGGCGAACCGGACGTGTGTGTTCAAACATTAAAGAATAACCCGGGCGAGTGCCAGCAAGGGGTAGTGGGAGTTGGACAAGAACGTGCTAGGTGGCCGCAACATCGTCGTATATACCAGGACAATTCCCGGGTTCTACTCGCGGGAGTTGGTACCTCCTGTTTTCCTGTTTTCCTTTGTTGTGCTAGTTAAATTGCTGCTATCTTAGTTCGTATTAGTTTATTTACCGTATTAGTGTGCCTGTAGTTGTAACTTGTCTTTTTCTTGTTCGGTCCGTTGCCTTGTGTGTGTTAGTGATTCCCCTCAGTCTGTCGTAGGAATAGTGGCTGTGGTCTGGGATGGTCGAGTGAGGTCATGTCCTCGGGGGGAGCGGGGGGAGGGGCGGGAGGTAGGGCAGGGGTTAGGGCGTGGGTTAGGGCATGGGTCGGGAGGCAAGAAAGGTAAAGGGAACAAGGGCGTCTATAGGTTGAGAATTGCGTCATGGAACATAGGTACAATGACGGGTAAGTCTATTGAGTTGGCGAAGATCCTCCAGAAGAGGAGGGTTAATATAGCGTGTGTCTAGGAGACAAGGTGGGTAGGGTCGAGGGCGAAGGACGCGGACGGGTATAAACTTTGGTACTCAGAAGTCCAGAGAGGTAAGAATGGAGTGGGTATCTTGGTGGATAGGGAACTTAGAGAGTCTGTGGTTGAGGTTAGACGAGTGAATGATAGATTGATGATTATTAAGTTGGTGGTTGGAGAGTGCACCCTAAACGTCGTTAGCGCCTATGCGCCGCATGCGGGCCTAGATGAGGAGGTTAAATGGTGCTTCTAGGAGGGGTTAGATGAGATTGTGCGCCAGGTTCCGCCTGCTGAGAAGCTATTCATAGGAGGGGATTTCAATGGTCATATTGGGTCGACCACAGGTGGTTATGGCAAAGTGCACGAAGGCTTCGGTTTTGGGGAAAGGAACGGAGGAGGTACCTCGTTGTTGGACTTCGCTAAGGCTTTTGGGTTGGTGATTGTGAGCTCTAGCTTTCCGAAAAAGGAGGAACATTTGGTTACTTTTCAAAATGCGGCGGCAAAGACTCAAATGGACTATCTCCTCCTCAGGAGGGGTGACAAAGGGTTGTGCAAGGATTGCAAGGTGATCCCGAGTGAGATACTCGCGATGCAGCATAAGCTTTTGGTGATGGACGTTGGTATTATATTAAGGAGGAGGAAAAGGTCTGCTCGAGGAAGACCGAGAATCAGGTGGGGAGCCTTAACTAAGGATAAAGCCCAAGAGTTGGAGGGGCGATTGTCGGCTATGGGAGCTTGGAGAAGCAGTGGTGACGAGCACTATGTGGTCAGCGGCAGCAGACTGTATAAGGGAGGCTGAGAGAGAGGTGTTAGGGGTCTCGACGGGCATCTCTGGGGGGCATAAAGGAGACTGGTGGTGGAATGAAGTAGTCCAAGGTAAAGTGGAAGCGAAGAAGGCGGCGTACCTGAAGTTAGTGGGGAGCATAGGTGAGGAGGAGAGGCGAGCGTGCATGGAGAGGTATAAAGTAGCTAGGAAGGAAGCTAAGCTGGCGGTGACAGAGGCTAAGACTACGGCTTATGGTCGTATAAACGAGGAACTGGGGGAAAAAGGCAGGGAGAAGAAATTATTTCGGTTGGCCAAGTTAAGAGAGAGGAAGGCTCGAGATTTGGACCAAGTGAGATGCATCAAGGACGAAGATGGTAGAGTATTGATGGAAGATGCCCAGATTAAGAGGAGATGACAGACTTACTTTCATAAACTTCTGAATGAGGAAGGGGATCGGGATATTGTGCTAGGCGAATTGGAGCATTCCGAGAGTCACCGTGACTTTGAGTGCTGCAGGCACATCAAGGTTGAGGAGGTCGTGGGAGCTATGCGTAAGATGAATAAGGGCAGAGCAACCGGGCCAGGCGAGATTCCGGTGGAATTTTAGAAGTGTGTGGGGAGAGAAGGTTTGGAGTGGTTGACTGGGTTGTTTAATGTTATTTTTAAGGCGAAAAGGATGCCAGATGAGTGGAGGTGGGGTACAGTGGTTCCAGTGTATAAGAACAAAGGTGATATCCAGAGTTGTAACAATTATAGGGGTATCAAATTACTTAGTCATACCATGAAAGTGTGGGAGAGGGTGGTTGAAGCGAGGGTGCGGGTGACAGTGTCTATATCCGACAACCAGTTTGGGTTCATGCCGGGTCGTTCAACTACAGAAGCTATACACCTTGTTAGGAGGTTGGTGGAACTATACAGAGAGAGGAAGAAGGATCTGCACATGGTGTTTATTGACCTTGAGAAATCGTATGACAAGGTTCCTAGAGAAGTTCTCTAGAGATGCTTGGAGGAAAAAGGTGTGTCAGTCCCCTACATTATGGCAATTAAGGACATGTATGATGGGGCTAAGACTCGGGTTAGGACAGTAGGAGGCGACTCTGAGCATTTTCCGGTTGTAATAGGGTTACACCAAGGTTCTACGTTCAGTCCGTTCTTATTTGCCCTGGTGATGGACGCGCTAACACACCATATTCAAGGGGAGGTGCCATGGTGCATGTTATTCACCGATGATATAGTTCTTATTAATGAGTCGCGAGCCGGTGTCAACGATAGGCTGGAGGTTTGGAGACAGACTCTTGAGTCTAAGGGTTTCAAGCTGAGCAGGACGGAGACGGAATACCTGGAGTGTAAGTTCAACGCTGAGCTGGTGGAAGTTGGCGTGGATGTGAGGCTTGAATGATAGGTTATCCCAAGTAGAGGCAACTTCAAGTAACTTGGGTCGATTATCCAGGGGGGAGGGGAGATCGACGAGGATATCACACACCGTATTGGGATAGGATGGATGAAGTGGAGGTTAGCATCTTGAGTCTTGTGTGATAAGAGAGTCCCAGCGATGCTCAAAGGAAAGTTCTACAAAGTGGTGGTTAGACCGACCATGATGTATAGGGCTGAGTGTTGGTCTGTTAAGAACTCACATATCCAGAAGATGAAAGTAGTAGAAATGAGGATATTGAGGTGGATATGTGGGCATACTAGGATGGATAAGATTAGTAATGATGTTATTCGGGAGAAGGTGCACGTAGCTCCCATTGATGCCAAGATGTGGGAATTGAGGCTAAGATGGTTCGGGCATGTTAAGAGAAGAAGCCCAGATGCTCCGGTAAGGAGGTGTGAACGACTGGTTATGGATGGCACGAGAAGAGGTAGAGGGCGACCTAAGAAATATTAGGGTGAGGTGATAAGGCAGGATATGGCGAGGCTTCGGATTTCCGAGGATATGACACTTGATAGGAAGATGTGGAGGTCGAGTATTAAGGTTGTAGGTTAGGAGGTAGTTGAGTCTTGTCTTACTTCGCACCTTTGTAAGACTAGTCTGGTAGAGTTTTTTGTCTAAGATAGTTAGTGGCAATGTTGTGTCTTACTATTTCGCTTTTCAATGCAGGACCTTTTGATTAGCTTTCGCTTTTGCTTTCCATCTTTCTTCTAGATTTCATATTGTTCCTATTTTTCCTACGATTTCTGTGGTGATACTAATATTGTCTCATTTTTGTCCTTTTGTTTTCTTGAGCCGAGGGTCTTCCGGAAACAGCCTCTCTACTCCTTCGGGGTAGGGGTAAGGTCTGCGTACACACTACCCTCCCCAGACCCCACTCGTGGGATTTTACTGGATTGTTGTTGTTGTACCTAGGGACAAAATGTACTAGGTTTGTTCCTAGTAACTAGTAACTAGTAAGTAGTATATGTGTAATAGTGACTTTCAGTTTTATGTAGTTTGTAATAGTGACTTTCAGTTAAATTATCTGATATACATTTTATTAGTAGCTTTTTTGATATGCTAGAAATGGAATGTTACGATTCTATTAGTCCAATTACTAAATCAGTAGTTAGTTAAATCAGTAGCTCACGCAAGGAATAAGAAGCTGGGTAGTTAGGGGTTAGTTGGAAGGTTGTTAGTGCATGTGACTTCCAAAAGTTAGTTATAACTAACTTTTCCCGCCAAATGTATTAGTATATAGTTTTGATTCCTACTGCTGTATTGTTTAGCTTTTGTGAAGTTTAATATCAGTAAACTGGTCTTCTCTCTTCTCTTTTATTGACACTCAATTCACAATTGAGTCTAGAGATTCTGTTCAAGAGTAATTCCTCCATTTTTACTCTTTAGGTTTCTCTTCTTTCTCTTTTCTTAGCTTGATAATTGCTGGAACGTATCATTGGTATCAGAGCGAGTGATTACTTGGACGGGAAATGGGCGATCGTAGTACTCGCATGGCGGAATTACGCAAGGATGTTGATGCTCTCAAATGATCTATGGACACTGTGGTCAATTCTGTAACAGAACTGACCAATTCTGTAGAGTCGAGAACGGCTCAAGCCTTGGAGGAGATCAAAAGAATGATGATTAATAACGGGGGAAATTCTGTCCAAAATGGCACAGTTGTGGATAAGAATGAAGAAAGGATAGAATCTCGAGCTCCCAGACCTGTTGACAATCCAAATCCCGCCAGAAATTATCAAGTCGATGTGGCTATCTCTAGGTTTGATGGGACTGGGTTAAAAGATTGGTTGTACAAATGCGAACAATTCTTAGATGCGGATGAAACTCCTGACGAATCCAAGGTCAAATTAGCTTCGTGCAAACTGGAGGGTCGAGCGTTGCAATGGCATCAAAGTTTCATGAAGTCTAGGGTGACTAGGGAATGGCCTCGATGGGGAGAGTATGTAAGATACCTCTATGCTAGATTTGGTGCTGAACTTTTTGATGATCCCATGGGTGATTTCAAGGATCTCAGGCAGGTAACTTCTGTTCAAGATTATGTTGATAATTTTGATGAATTACTTAATAGAGTCGAGTTACAAGAGGAGTATGTTATTAGTTATTTCCTAAGGGGTTTGAAACCAGAAATTGGTCTGCCTGTTAAGCTGTTAGGTCCCAGGTCTCTAGCCAAAGCCATTAGTTTAGCCAGAATTCAAGAGCAAATATTACAAGTGCAGAAACAAGTTTTTTCTTCTAATGCCATCCTTCCTACCCCCAGAAATGTCCCAAGATTTCAGCCCGCATCCTTCTCTCCTCAAGGAGGGAATCACCTGCCATTTAAACCTTCTCAAACTTTTCCAAAACAATAGCCTTCTTACCCTAGCAGTTCTAAACCAACGTACAACAATCCTAAGCTCTTAACTAGTGCTGAGATGGAGGAAAAAAGAAGCAAGGGGTTATGTTTCCATTGTGATTAGAAATACACTGTGGGACATGTGTGCAAGAAGAAAAGGCAATTTTTCTCTATGGAAGTTCAAGAAGGAGAGGGAATGGTGGAAGTAGAGGGAGGTGTCATGTTTTGGATCCAGCAGAGTTGTTAACCATGTTAGCTCAAGGCCTAGAGACTAATGCAGAAGGGTCTATTCTACCTCATGTATCTGTGCATGCCATGAATGGTGCACATGATTTTAGGACCATGAGGGTGACAGTGTCAATCAAAGGGAAGGCAGTTCATGTACTTATTAATACTTGTAGTACCCATAATTTCTTGGACCTTAACACTGCCAAGAAGTTAGGGTGTGTTCTGACTACCATAGCTCCTTTTGCAGTATCAGTAGCTGATGGTAATAAGGTGCAAAGCCATTATGTTTGCAAAAAAACTGGTGTGGAAGATGAAGGGAGTCTCCTTTGACTCTGATATGCTTGTATTGCTATTGGGTGGATGTAATATGGTTATGGGCATCCAATGGTTGATTACTTTAGGTGATATCCTATGGAATTTCAAGAAACTTAAAATGGAGTTCACTATCATGGGCAAGAAGATTTCTCCAAGAGGGATTCAACCTCCAGCTGCTAAATTAATTCAAGCAGGAAGAATGGACAAGCTTCTTGCTAAGCCAGCAGAGTTACGCGTGATATCAGTGGGGTACTAGCAGAAGAGAATTCAAGTGAAGTTGTTGGTTTGTTTTCACTAATAGGCCAAGACCAAGACCAAGAAAGGACTGCAGAACTAGACTTGATTCTGCAAAAGTACAAGGACATATTTGAGGATCCTAAGGGATTACCACCTTCAAGGGTACATGATCATAGGATTGTTCTAAAAGAAGGTACTACTCCAATAAACAAGAGGCCCTACAGATATCCAGCTATTCAGAAAGATGAGATTGAAAAAATGGTAGATGAGATGTTGAGTACTGGGGTGATAAGGCACAATACCAGTCCCTAGTCTTCTCCTATTGTAATGGTGAAGAATGACGAGGCTTGTGTGTATAGGATTTTCTGCTCGTACTCTGTCAAATTCTAGTATAGTTTATGATATCGTCCCACAGAGATTGGACAATCTAAGCTACAGACTTGTAATATTTTGACTACTATTTGAGAGAACCAAATTGATGAAAGG